TCGTGTCTTTCGTCACGTTTTCGGCCTCGTGGCGTCGGTTTTGGTGCAGCGGGTTTTGGCGGTTTTGCCACCAACAGCATATATTTGCAGAAAGAATGATTCAATGTGCTAATAAAATAGTAGCTTTTTTTAAAAAATCTCATAAGGCTAGAGCTATATTAAAAGAAAAATTACACAACATCAAACTAGTGGTGGTGGCCTTAAAACACATGTAGAAACAAGATGGACAACTATATATAAATATATCTCCTTAATTATGCAACTTAAAATTTGTTTAGAGGATATTCAAAAAAATCATTTTGAAATTATTAGTCCTGTTATTTTGACAATACTTAATAGTCGAGGCTTTTTCTCTGATTTGCAATATTTTTCAAATGTTTTAATTCCAATCAAAGAAGCAATTTTGGCAGTTAAAGCAAATTGTTCTACACTTGCTGACTGTTATATTAATTTAGTAAAAATTGCTATAGCAATTCATAATCTTTCTACTAATAAATATAAAGAATTTCATAATAAATAAATTAAAAAATTTAATAAGCAGTTTGAAGAATTTAATGATCTTATCTATCAACTTACATATTTTCTTCATTCAACATATAAAGGTATTAGATTAAAGTTTGGTACATTTCTTTTAATTGCAAATTTTGCTAGAACACTATAGCAACAAATAGGTAAAAAAACAAAAAAGTTGTAAAATTTCAATAACATAATTACAAATTTATAAAGAGCAAAAACAAATTATAAATGGAAATATAAATCCTTATACTGCTCCCTATATGATTGGTACTGATACACTATTAATATAGTGAAATACATGTGAAGTTAAGTCTAACTATTTACAATACTTAGCAATTAAGCTTTTTTCTATTGTAGCTCTTTGTAAATGAATGTTTTCAGCATTAGGGTAGATTTATAGAAAGCATCGAACTAGATTAAGTATAGATCAGTTAGAAGGATTAGCAAAAATTTATCAATTTAATTTATCAAACTCTATAGAACAACTTTGTTATATTCAAATTGCAGAAATAACTCCTGAAACAATAACAAATATTGCCAAAACTGTTTTTTTTTTTTGGTGTTAAAGGTAATCTCTTTGGCCATAACTTTTTATTAGAAGTTAGGTTTTAGTTACAATGATGATACAACTAGCCACACATATAGCTTTTAGTTATTTATTTAAGTAGTCTGCCTATTTTGGATTCTACACTAGCCACTATACCTGCAATCTAACTAGAAGATTACCTATTTAAACTCTCTAGTCTTTTTATAAATAAGGGTATGACTAGCCATATGTGCAACTTTTGGTTGCCTATTTAAGTAGTCTGTCTTAGGTTCTATACTAGCTGCCATACTTGCAACTAACTAGAGGGTTATCTATTTAAACCCTCTGATCATAACCTAATTCTATCTGGTAGGGTCTTCTAACTTGGTTACTCAAATTTTGTTTGTGCCTTAAGACTTATCAACTTTAGTCTATTCTTGAGGTAAACTCACCGAAGCCTTCCATGTTCTATTTTGGCTAACCTGGTACTGCAATTGCCAAGGCTTTACTTGCAGTTGAGGTACCCCCATTTAACCACTATGCAAGATGCACTTCAACTCTGGCACCTCCATTCAGACTTTTCTTTTCTTTGAATTCTTATTCAGTCTCTCTATTAATTCTAGCTAGCAACTCGGAATGGTTGGTCTTCTTAGGCATTAGATGCCCTACAGGCATTCTCCTCTTGGTATACACTTTCAGAGATATGTCCTTTTCCTCTAGTTTGACAACCCGGTGGTTCAGCTAGTGTGTTCTCCCACTTAAGGACCTAGTCACTTGGTTCTCCAGTCTCGGTCTCCAGTTTCAAGTTCAGTCTTCTTGTAGCACTATCAAAAGTCTCTGTTACCTCCTTACTTAGGACGTCCCAAATAGATTTTAATCATTGCAGTTTCTTGGCCTTTTATACACTGAAGCTCCCATGTAAATATAGTGTTATCAAGATTACAAGTTCTGGGACCCAACTGATTAACCATGATTATCACCATATTACAGGCTTATTTTTTGAAAATATTATCCATGGGATTCAAACTTTGGATCTGCCACTTGATATGGTAATGCTGAAACTGTTTTTAAAGAGGTTGAAGAAGAAATATTAATAGATAATGATAATGTTGAAATACTTAATTCTGCTAAAGATCTTTATCCAAATGAACAAAATTTAGATTTAAATATTTCAACTTTTATTGATTTTAGATCTCTAGTTTTTATATTTTTTAATAGTTATGAAAGTGAAAATTTTAATGAAATTGAATCTGATGATGATACTCAAGAAAGTAATTATAATATAGATAAAATTGTTGCTACACAATTAAATTATGATTCACAGTAAGTATAATATTAAAAAAAAAGGAAATTAGATAATATAATAGTTCTCTTATGAATTAAAATTTAGTATATTAATTTGTAAATTATAGCAATAGTTTAATCTTCTTGATTTTGTAAAAAAAACTTTATTTTACTTCTTACTCTAAATCAACATATATTTTTATTTTACTTTCACTTTACTATTATTATTATTATTATTATTATTAGTTATTATTATTGTTATTAGTTAGTTAGAATATATACAATAAAGAAATCAGTTTTCAATCCTGCATCCTAATTGGTCTTTATTCATAAATTAATTGAATAATTCCAATAAAACTTGTTAAAATTTAATTACATATCATGCATATTACAATAAATAATAAATTTTGTAAAAAATTTTTAACAGTAATTTGATTAAACAAATAAGATAAATAGTATGCATCGAACTAGTATTATATAAAATATTTAAATTATAAATATTTAAATTATGAAAATCTCACAATAAAGAGCTATCAGGTTTAAATTTTTATAAAAACTTGGCCAACAATATTTTCTAATTTAGTGCAACTGCGTTAAGCAAATACTTATTAGTTATTATAACTATTACAACTATTACACCTATTATAACTATTATATCTATTACAACTATTACAACTATTATGGCAATTATAGCTATTATGACTATTACACCAATTACAACTATTATACCTATTACAACTATTACAACTATTACAGCAATTATAGCTATTATGACTATTACAACATTTACAGCAAAAAATTACAATCATAAGTTAAAAGATTGCAACCTTACAACTCTATCAAATCTATTATAGCAAGCAACCCTAATATCAATATTGCTTGTATTACTGAAACTAAGATTTTGAACAAAACCAAACTCTCTTTTTGTAACAATAACCTTTACATATACTACTAGGCAAATTTAGATAGTTCTATAGAGGAAGCTGCTATCATGATCCATAACTTCTTCAAGCCTTATATATATAGCTAAATTACACATTCAGGCAGTGCTATTGCACTGGATGTCTTCTTCAAAAGCAATATTAACTTTGTATTATCTTTGTATATCTTTCTCCTACAGATTTTAGCAGATGCAATCATACACAAAACACTGTCATTAACTGGATATTGCACGCCAAACAACTCAACTTACAGCCTATTATCTTAGATGACTTCAATACACAGAATACTGTATTCAGATCCTTAGCCAAATATAAACTTATCAATTTCTTATATCGCTTCAATATGTTTGATATTGGTTCACATATTAATAACACACAACTGATATGTCTAATAATACTAAGTCTAGCAGAATTGACTATATTTGGACCAATATCTTCAATATCTAATTTTTTCTCTTCTATAATCTAAATAATAGCAAAACTAGCACTCTTAGTGACCACCTAACTCTTCTTACTTCTTGGATATTTTCTAATGCCTTTAGCAAATCTTCACGCCTCTATACTAATATTAGCCAATGAATTTTTGATTACAAGGCTACTTCTAAAAACCAATAGCTTGAATTCTCTGAGCTTACCACATATTTAATTACTCAAAACTATATTTCTCTCTATTAACACTCAAGAAAGCATAGATACT